AAGTAAAACAAAAAATTCGGTCAAAAATGTTGATTCTTTCTTTGATCAATCAAGAAATTATGGATAACGAGATTTTAGTAGATATAATTTACACAAATCCTAAAAACTTCAAGATATTGGAATCACAAGTAAGAATAAATTCTCGTTTAAATAAATATCAATATTGAAAACACCCGCTCATTAATAATTCTCTCCATCCAATTGTCCAACTTTTCTTCCCGTTCATTAGCATCAACGAGATGTATGTATAATACATCCAGCGTCGAACAAGCGCTTGAAAAAGTCAATGCGTAGGTAGTCGGAAGTAGTCGGGGCGCCGCAGAGATGCCGCGAGATCTACATCTCTCTCTCTCTCTCTCTCTCTCTCACACACACACTCTCTATCTCTTGGAGGCCGATGTCGACTGTCCCTCGTTGGGCTTACATTCTTAATTAGATCGTTAAATACCGGTGGCATCCGCGCGCGCAGAAATGCAACGGCAGCGTAGCAGCAACACGCCCGTCCGCTCGTCAGGCTCGCTCGCGCGATGGTTGCTGGCTGTTGGGCAAGGCAGAGGGAATTGCATTGCATGCCACATAATCGTGGGAGTGTTTCCCATCAAGATACACGTAGGTATCGCACACTCGCTCGCGCCCGCGCGGACTCTGGTAATACCCTCTCTCGCATAAATATATCCGCGCCGCGCGCATTTACATGCCCGCCTCTACGGGGTGGCTCGGCGCGGCGCACGCCGAGATAACGCGGCCGATCTTATCCAAGGTAGCGAAGCTTGGATTTCGGTACAGATCGGACCATCCTAATCTCGGTAAGCGAAACGGCTGATAACGAAATTCGCGCTTCAAGTCTCGCATTTTTCCTCTCGCGAATTAAGGACGCGGAGAGGACAGGAAAGAAAACTTGCTGAAAACTTGCGTCTCGAATTTCACCTGGTGAAATCGGTAGAGAAGAACGTATATAATTTCTTCCGAAGCTATTTATTGCGATCAATTAAAATTATATATTTTGTATATAAGGGGAATTCTTTACGAAGAAATAAATCAGCTGATATTTTTCTTAACCGTAAAAATATTAGCATCAGCCTCTCTTCACACCCGATTTCGCAACGCGATGCGAAATAGCCGTCTCGAAATTAATCGCGATATTCGCGAGGAATCATTACTGACCGCGGGATAAATGGCAGCGCCGATTGTTCTTGCAATTAAAGGTCTCTCTCTAGGTAAGAGAGAGTTACCGTGGTGCGGACGAGCTCCTTTTCCCGTATAATTACGACCGATGTATCGACGTCGAGGACGTAACGATCTCGGGCGACGATTATTCAAGCGCACTCGAACGTTTTGGACCACCGGGTATGTAATATCTCGTGCATATACAACACCGGAGAAAGCTGAGAGACGGCCAATCTTAGCGAGCTAAACGTACTTTATGCACCGTGCCCTCGTTCCGCCGTTTTATCCGAACAATTAGACACGTGGTCCAACAGCCACGGGGTGTACGAAAAAAGTCGCAACCTTCCATCTCGCGGGCGGAGAGGAATCCCCGATGTAGGAGAAAGAGAGAGAAAGGAAGCGGAAAGAAATTTATCCGCGTTCGCGCCGCCGGACACGCTAATTTCACGTCAATTACACGCGACACGTAACGTACCGTAATCGCTCGGAGTCCTCTGAAGCAACGCTAAACACATGTATTAAAATACGATAGATACTGGAATACACGGAAAGGCACGAGTTTGTTTCAGCTATTATCGTGATTAGACTTGATTGACGTTACTTTTATAGTTCAGTTTCGTAAATAAATATCTGAATTCACGTTAAGAAGCTGGAGAGTTTCTCATATAGCTGGATACTTTTCTCATTATAAATTGTTTTTTTAACAAATAAGAAATAAACTTATTACCCACACAGTTACAAAATTGCAAATACAATTGTAAGAGTAATAAACTAATAAATAGAAATATATGCTAACGAAGAATCCCTACTGTGGAATTGCATTCAATTTTATTATAATTGTTGAAGATTAATCAATCGGTTTTCTCGTAACAGTTCTCGTGTGCAACAAAAATAATCCAGTTATCGGACAGCGAGAAGTTGTAAGATGATTTAAACAGCTTAACACAAGACATTATGACGTACATTTTCTAGTAATAGTAATAGTAATAGTAATTTGCATATTAGACCGGTTAAGATAATCGTTGTCGTGATACTAGATGTTTCTCACGATCACATCAAGTATCAAACGCTAATTATCAAACGTTCCTATTTATAGAGCAAATGGAGCAAAAATTTGAACGGCGACCGTTTATTATCTCGAAATGAAATCTTAAAACAGCGTACCAGCCTCAGTGCAATTAATAATGCATTTCGCATTTATTATTTCTGCGTTTCGCTAAAGTGACACACCTCGATTAGCGTAATAACGTGCTACGTGGTACGTGCGAATATTCATTCTGCTTTTCATTTCAAACGAATTCATTCACGACCGTGGGTTACAAACCGTTTCCACGCTTTTGCCTTCCATTATGTTAAATTGAACGAAACGACGTCCTAGCCCATTCGCTTTTTAACCTTCACAATAGTGATCCTTTAACCCCTTAACTGTGATAAATAATAAGCTTATCTCGAGTCGGTTGCTGGCATTATCAACACTTATTATGAGATGTGTTATCGGAAATTTATTAAACAGTATTTATTCTCAACCTGTATGTGTATTCTTATTATCAATAAATTAAAAGTGAATATTTGAAATATTCTCATATACACACAAATCTGAGATTTAAAATCTTTTTGAAATAGGCTTTATGACATTTTAAAATATTTATGATTGTAAGTAAAGAAATAAAATTTTAGTATCGCGTTAGAAATTACGAACGATAAAAATATATTTCTTTGGTTATATATATATATATATATATA